TCCGGTCGGTCATTTCGAGTATTACAACCCTATTTTTTCATTTACTGATCAAATTATGCTCTACGGTTGTTATTCGACTTGCCAGGGTAATTGGTTCGGGTCTGGTGAGATTTTAGAATGATTTGAAAAGCTTAGTTCCAAGCTTTAAAACTTAAGTTGAAAAGGTTTTGTGGTGCCGAGTTAGATTAATTAGTACAAAGGTTTTGTAAAGGAAATTTTTTGCCAGAAAAGGATCATTTTTGCGGCCCACTATGCGGTCGCAGAATCATTCTGCGGACCGCATAATGGCCGCAGAGTGAATCAGGAGTGGGGCAAGTGTGGAGGAAAGTTTGCGGTGCATTATGCGCCCGCAGAACAGGTCTACGGACCGCATAACGACTGCAGACTGAGGCAGCCTTGCCCAGTTCCGGAGGCCACATTTCGCGGACATTTGCGAGACGCAGAAGCGTTATGCGGTCGCATATGCGGTCGCGGAGTGTGTTTCGGGGCTTAATTTTTCTGATTTTATAAATCCGACCTCATTCTTATAAAACACTATTGGGGGTCATTTTGAGGGATTACATCTGATATTTTAGAGAAAGGTGAGAGAAATTTAGAGAGAGAACGTGAAGACTTAGTCATTTATCCATCAATTCTTATTCAAGATTTTAAGATTTCACAAGGATCTTGCTAGGGCTTCAAAGAGGTAAGAATTTCTTTCCCCAATTCTTCAATTTCGGGTTTGGAGTAAAATATGGGTGATTAAGAGTATGATTTTTGGGTGTGAGAGTATTAAATATACATACACATACCAATAAGGTTTGTGGAAAGATTGTTGAGTTCAAATGGGTAAAGATTGAGTTAAAAATAGTAGAAATCTTCAAAGACTTTAACTTAAGATTTGAGGGTCGAGTTGATGTCGGAATTTGGTGAAATTTGTATGGTTGGACTCGTGGTTGAATGGCCGTTCATATTATATAACTTTTGTTGGGTTCCGAGACGTGGGCCCCACAGGCGATTTTTGAGTTAAATTTCAGATTTTGTTGGAACAATTAGTATGTTCATATGGAATAAATTCATATGATTTGTATTGACTGAATCAGATTAATTGTGGCTAGATACGAGGCTTTCGGAGACCAATTCACGAGGCAAGGGCATAGCGAAATGAGAAATTACACGGTTTGAGGTAAGTAACACTTATAAACTTTGTTCTGAGGGTATGAATCCATGAATTACATGTTGTATGAATTGCTTGGAGATGACGCACACTCTAGGTGACGGGTGTGTGAGCGTGCATCATAGGAATTATGATTTAATTGATTCCGTGGATTTATGTCATTATCCGCACATCCTTCACATGATAGAGAAATTGAACCGAGACTCCTGTTAAAGATAATGATCTGGCTACGCGCCGATATATTTTGGGACCCACATGGGTCGTATTGTTGTTGAACTATTTGTTTAAATTTACAATGTTGTACTCAGTCACATCTATCACTTGCATATCATATCTCAGTCTCTGTTGTTATTCATTGATACTTCATATCATCATGTCGGGTTAATTTCTTTTATGTCATTGAGAGCCCGAGAGACTGGAGATTCTGAGTGATAGTTATGTTTACTTATTTATGCCTGGATCTGGCTATTATAGCGCTTGGGCTGAAAGAGCCTCTCCGGAGTCTGCACCCCCACAGTGAGCGTAGTTGATATTATATATATTTGGGATAGATCTTCCCTGGGCATGGATCTTGCTATAAATATATATTGAGGGATGAATATTCCTTGGGCATGGATCTTGTCCGAAGCATGTGATGTGACGGATGAAATTTTTAAATATTAAGCTCTTCTGACGAAGTTCACCCAAAAAAAAACCACCGAGAAATGTGATGTGACGGATGAAATTACTCTACTCTTAGCTAGATGTATTTTTGAAAAAACATTTAGTAGAAAACAGTTCCTTCTTTAATGGCTCATATGCAACGGAAATTCGGATAAATACAATGAGTGTATTCTTGATTTGACATCAAACTAGATTAATTTAGCACAATTAAATTACAAATGAAATTAAGAATGTATATTAATCAAACGTAGTTTAAGCGATAAAAGTTTAATGGGAAAACACACCTCATGTATTTATAGTTTAAAGATACCGATGGGTTGAAGTCATTCTATTGAGGACAATACAAATGGACGAGTACCGACGTTGTGCGTAACAAAGAAACAACTAGACGAGCACTGACGATCAGTGTGCAAGTGTCCGACAACCATACATAGCAAGAAATTCAAGATGTACATTTTTTATCTCTCATAGACTTGCATAACTTTAAAACTGGCATTGATCTCTTTTTTATTGATACCATCTTAAGCGTTAATTACCATGATGCATATCCAAACTTTTATATATGTTAAGTTTACAACTTCAAAAGTGAAGGGGCGTCCAAAGTGCAATGGAAGAATTGGTCAAGTTTTGCAATTGCTCGAAATGAGCACATTTTGCAATAGCTTAGATTTGGTATTGAAACATGCAGCTTATTGATATAGGACATATCTCTCGTGTCTTCTCACTTCATGCTTCAAAGCAGTGATTGACCCTTCCTCTATCAAACCTTTCCAAAATCACTACACAAAATACCATTTTCTACAAGCCACAACAACAGATATGTACATACTCACAGCCCCAAGAAATACAATTTTAGCACATGGGCACAGGCAAGTGGGAAGGAGAACTTGGTATCAAAGAGGAGAAAAATAAACAAGAGGCTGCCAATTATGGAAAAAGAAACAGTGGTGGTGAAGCATTGCAAGGTATACAGAGTGGCATGATCTTCATAGAAGTGCATTATGCAGTCTTCAATGGTAAAGCAATCCCCCAGGAGCATCTGATAATAGAGAAGTTTATCCCGGAAGCACACAAAGTTCATAAAGTTTCATAAAAATTATTGCAGCAATAATAGTGCACTTCTTCTATCCAAGCAAATATGAAGCTAGCCGAGATATGGCACGAAATCCTAGTGACAGAACGGTCGGATAAACAATGAGGTATACAATAATTTCCTAAAAAAACTTTCTTCGTCAAATGACAGGTTCAGGAGCATTACTCCCAAGCCATAAATGAAAAACAAGTTATTTTTTCTTTTTATGTGTAATACAATCCTGTTGAATTCAGGAAAACATTCAGGAGTAGTGCATATTGTCAGGAGGAGATATGCTAGAAGCAGTCTCTGGGAGCTGGACCATTGATCTATTTGAGTACCACAAATAGCTTTCATAATAGAGATCAGTCACTCAGGAAATGCAAGTCCCCAAAGCAATTCAGAAGAATAGGATTAGACATCACTCTTCTCATAGGAGAAGTAGATAAGAATGACGAAGAGAAAAATATACAGAATATGAGAGGAACACTTCCAAAGTCTCAATGATCTACCAAGTTCCATCTTGTTGGAATACCAATCTCTTTCCAATCCTTTGTGGCTCTTACTAATTTGCAACTTCTTCATCAAAAGCGATACTTCACATGGAATTCCATCCCCTTTGCCCCACCACTTGTAGGAAGTAGGAGAAAAGTAAATCCACCATTCAGCTAACATACTCGAAATTACTCTAACATTCCCTTAGAAATACGTACCCATGAGTAGTACACTAAAATAAAGCTAAAAATTTTGTTGTGTGCCAAGGAATTTGGTATTTGGTTAGTCTTGAACATCAATCTTGCGATCTTTGCACATCCCAAACTAATATCCTCATCGTGATTAAACACATTTGGCTCATTTGGTCATGGTATGGGCACAACGTATTTACACATGACCATAGTTTGAAAGAGGACATTGGCGTCACCACGTGACTTGGTGGCCAACAAGTGGGAGGGTATTGCATAGGGGAGATCGGCTGTAGAGTAGGGTGAGGTTGCTTGGGACAAGACTGCAGTTATTTCTGAGTTCAGTTGGAGTTGTAGTACCTACCCATTTGCACAACAAAGAAAGGGTACAGACAGAAGGGAACGAAAGACAGAAGCTGGTAGCAAAGAAGATTTCAGAAATGAAAAGATGTGGAATTTCCATACAGAGATTGCGTGTTAGCAGCTGTCTGATCCAAGCCACTAGTGTTTCTCTAGTGAGGAGAGATCTCATCCTAAACCTTTATTTTTTCAATCAAACCCATATCTTTCTAGCATAGACATAGTATGAGCCCACAATTGAACTTCTAATCTATTTTACTATTATAATGTTTAGGTACTACTTTTTGTTAATAGAAATCTATGCATGATGAAAGGCTTTACATAAACTCACAAACAGAATGAGCAAAGAAGCAAATGTAGTCATCTCTATTTACTACAAAAACGAGAAAAGAGATGCTTTTTGTTAAGAGATAGGAAATACTTAAATGCAAGGTATAGATACTTCAACTATACATATGTCACATCGCTTTCCAACAGGGAATAAATGAAGATGAAGCTCAACATTTTCTAATACTTGTTTTCGCAACTAGTAGATTTAGTCAACAAACATCTTATTGTCTTGTAATTCAATCTCGTACATTTCCTCAAGTTGGTTTACCATAAAAATCAGCTTCGCTTTACTTAGTACTCCCAATATCATATATTAGTAGCTTATGTCCTTGTCTTACAAGCATGCTCATGTTTGATATGCTCCTTTTTTCCCCCAATTTTACGAGTGAAAATATGCTAAGTCTACCAAAAAACCAAAACAACTACAATCCCTCAGTTTATATTCAGATGTTCTTGTTACTTCTATATGAACTTAAAAGGAAAATAAAATGGAAAACCAATCGTAAATCTATATAGAATTCGAAACTGTACTTGCAAGAGGAGGACCTGAAGCCTTTCCAATAATCTAGAGAGAGAGAGAGAGGCAAAACTATAAATTCCTCAACAATCTAACCCTCCTGAAGGAGATAGGTATCACGCTTAAGTTACAGCAAGCTCATTCACATATACACTGCATACCAGGAAAGAAAGTAATCATTAACTATTTACTCGAGCTAATTAGCAGACAATTCAAACCTCACGTTGAAGAAGCAGCCCTAATAGCTTTCTGCAACTCACTCTCAACATCACTAGCCCGATTCCCATCCGAAGCATTCTTCTTCACCTCTTTCTTTGCATTCTCTCCCCCACTCTTCCTCCTATTCCTCCACTCCTCAAATCCCCCTGAATTCGAATTCTCAACCACCTGCACACCTACAAACTCTCTCTCACCAGCACCATGCCTAACCGCAGTCCCCATCGTAGTTTCCTCAAACCTATGTTTCATCTCTCTATTCTCTCTCTGCAGCATCTCCAGCTCCTTTTTCATCCAAAAACACATACCTTTCAACAGCTCCGTTTCGCCTAAATTCTCGTCCTTCTTCTCCTTCACCTCCTTAACTTCATCAACTCTCTTAATCCCAATCTTATTCACACTTAAAAACGGCATCCTGTTCCCCAAATCCTTAGGGAAATTCACACCCCAACGACAATCCATCGTCACACTTTTCGTCAAAGGCATTTCTGTTTTAGCCATCACAGCAATCCCCTTAAAGACAGAATCTTTAGCATAATCCTCCACTGAGAAGTCCTTAAAACTAGATGGCCTCTCCAAAGGAACAAACCCAAATGAATTCCCATCACCATTCTGCTTGCCCACAACACTAGAATTAGAATCCGGGTCAGAAGTAGTGCTTTTACGAAGTGAAAAAGAACCCAATTGGGGTTTGAAGAGAAGGGTAAAAGTGGGATTTTGATTGGGTTGAAGAGGGGAAAAGGAAAAGTTAGCAGAAATGACTAAAGGTGAGTTCTTGGGAGACCCAAAAACCCCAATTCCAGATTTGAGGGTGAGAGTTAAAGGAGGGGTAGTGGTGGTTGCGGTGGGGGAGGCAGTGGAGTAGGAGAGTTTAAGGGTGGGGCCAGAAGAGAAGTTGGTGGCAAGAGCAAGGGAGAGATCAGAAGGGTGGTGGGTGGTAGTGGAGAAGCAAGAAAGGAAAGGAAGGTTGAAAATGGAAATGGGGATTTTGGCACGGAGGAGAAGAGGGTGAGTTTGTGGTTGTTTTTGGTGGTTGTGGGGTTGAGATTGGTCTTGAAGTTTCAGTGAGAGCTTCATCTTTTTTCTCTTTTCGTTTTCTGGGGCACTTGTCTTACCGAGATTGTGAAGTAGAGAAGCTATAGGAAAACGCCATGTCTGTTCATGTTGTCAAGTTGATGCTGATTGGCTTTAATTATTGGGCCTATAACATATTTTGAAGACCCGACACACTCAATTTGGACTAGGGTTGTCCAATTAATTTATGAAGAATTATTATAGCACGTTTGGCCAAACTTTTAAAATCTACTTTGAGATGTGTTTTTTTTAAAAGTATTTTTTCAAAAAGTACTTTTGGCGAGAAATAATTTGTGTTTGGCTAATTAATTTGAAAAGCACTTTTGATCAACAATTAGTGTTTGGTCAAGTTGTTAAAAGGTGCTTCTAAGTGTATTTTTTTCAAAAGTAATTTTCAAAAAAGTACTTAGGGGAGAAACTACTTTTTCTGCTTCTTTTGCTTCTACTCAAAAGCACTTTTTTCTTTCAAAAATCTTGGCCAAACTCCTTAACTTTGAGGGAAAAAAATACTTTTGACAAAAAAATACTTTTGGCCAAGAAAAAAGTTTGGACAAACAGGCTATTAATCTAAATAACCAATCATCCAACCACAAAACTAAATTAAGTCAGATGGATATATAATATATGTATAATATAGGCCAAATACCCATACGACCCCTTAAACTTGGCCACATTGGCCATTTAGACACTTCAACTAAGGCCAGTACCTATTGTATACTTTAACTTAATATAATATGTACATATTAAACACCTCATGCCAGGTGGCACGATGTGTGATTTGTACCCAAAATTCGGCGCGTGAAGAAGAAATGTTTGGCCTGTATTTTTTTCTATTTTCTTCTTCAAATAATTTTTTTATTCTTCTTCTCCTTCATCTTCTCCATCGCTACCTCCATCTACCACAAGATTTTTTTCCTCCTAATTTCTTCCTGAGTCGTTTTACAGATTCATCTCACTTCCAATATTGATTAACTTATCAATTCACTTTAAAGGATTTCGTGCATGCCAAAGAAAGAATAAACCCCAGAAATGATATATTAAAAGAGGTTGAGATAAATCGTGAAATTCAAACTCGAATTTGCAGTAATGTTAAACTTTATATTTGAATTACCTTTTTATTTCAGAGATACACCTTAGAATTCACTTCAAATTTAAATTATTTACAAATCAAACCTATTTTGCAGAGAGAAAGCAACAAAAAAAAAACTCAGCAATTTCAGAAAATAATCAAGAAAACTCGAATAGATTTTGCAATACTCGATTTTGTAAAGAGAAACCCAACAAGAAAAGATGCAGCAATTTCAAACATCAACCCTGTAATATCGATCCGATTTTACATAAAAAAATCATCTAACAAGAAAAATCCAGCAATTTCAGACATAAAAAACAAGCAATTTGGACTTGATTTTGCAGTTGCAAACATGGAGATTAATCATACTATTGCATCTGCATCAACATTTTCCGTCCAAATGTGAAATTTTACGGCCAAACTGCACATCTACAAATATGAAAAATTTTCAACCAAGAAAACAATATGCTTTTTGTTTGGACATGGCTTGAGAGAGATGGAAACATAAATGGGCAAGGAAGAAGTTGGTAGCTTGAAAAAAAAGAGATGGGAAAAGAAATGGCGGTCTAGAAAAGGTGAGTTTGGTGTGGGGAAGGGGGAGTAGAGTTTTTAATTTTTTTTGTAAATCTTTTTCAATTTGGATTATTTAGCCTTAAATAAAGAAAAAGAAAAATGGGAGCAACTACATGTTACTCTTTAATTCGATGTTTCACCACGTCATCCGAAGAACAACACGCACTTAACTGTTTAAACCAGGTGAGTGAGAGGTGTTTAATAGATACATATTCCATTAGGTTAAAGTGTACAATAGGTACTAGCCTTAGTTGAAGTGTTTAAATGGAAACTGGAGCCAAATTTAAGGGCCCGTACAAGTATTTGGCCTATAATATATAATCATATGTAATCTATCCAACAACTCTAGGTTTGACTGGGTTAAGCATATATTGCTCATTAAGGGGTCAGTTTGGGCATAATCCAAGTTAGTCCTTTTAACGTTCGGATCAATTTGAGCAAGGACATGTAGCTCAAAATGATCAATATCAAGACAAGCGAGACTTTCTTAGTTGGTTAAGCACCTTCACCCACACCCGTTAGGTTATGGGTTCGAGTCATACTGGATGGAAAGCAAAAACAGAGAACTTATCAAAAATAATTTTTTCGGGGATTGATTAATTTGATATAGTCATAAATCATGATAAATGACAAAAATATTTTTTAGTTTGATTTTGTAATTAAGCAAATTATAAAAGAACAAATAAACAAATGAAAAACAATTTTGAGTTAGCAAGTTGTGCTCCAACCTATTACAGTAGAACGTTTTATTTGCTTTACAACTTTTAATATGGAATACATTATTGTATGATGATCATGATGCTTGGAGTCAGGCAGATGCAACATCGTAGCATCAGGTTCATCTGAACTCAATATTTTCGTTGTGGACTATAAATTATATGTAAAAATTTGCTAACATTGTAATAAATAATAGGTGCGAACCATAGGACATCAAATAGGCGGGTTGGGCTGAATTTAGACGGGTCAAGATGGGCTGAGTTAATAAATAAGTCATTGCCCAACTCAGTCCAAAGTGTACCTGGGCTAAGATGGGCTACACAATGAGTCATAACCCAACCCGCCCAACTTGACCAATATTTTATAACTATGTTCATCTTGCATAAACAAAATCTTTTACTTTTTATACACATATGTATGTTCCCTACTTTCTTAGCTTCTTCATAATTTATTCATTTCGTACACTAACAATGAATTGCTATACATCTAATTTTATTTTTTTAGCTAAGAAACACATATGGATCAATCTTATACTCAACTATTCATTAGCTTTTATAACTTTCTAAAACTAAATAAATATTTAAAAGTGTATAAGAAAGAAGAAAAAAAGCAAAGAAAATAGCGGTTGAAAAAAAAAAAGACAATGTTTAAGAAAATCTCTTGAAGAAATTTTCTGTGCAGATAAAGGTTTGGCTAGTGTTGAATTTATTTATTTTTTTGGTTGGTATTGTGATAAATAGGGATTTTGACCGCTTATTTAGTCTCTTTTACTTACGTTTTAGCTCAAAAATGCTTAAAGTATTCCCGAGAACTAATGAAATATGCTTTCTTGCAGGAATATTAGAAAATGAGCCAAAGGAGTGAAAATCAACTCAAAAAGGAGTAAAATTGGACAAGAACCAAAATAAGGCAAAAAGGGCTACAGTGCGGACCGCACAATACTGCGTGCGGCCGCAAACTCTCAAGATGCACTGATAGAATTTTTTCACAGAGTATGGAACACACAATTATTGTGCGGCTGCAGAAGACTAGATTCAGAGACTTGTAGTTTGGGAGCTTGAAGATGTGTGAACCACACTATTATTGTGCGGCCGCAGGATGCCAAAATACGGCCGCACTCATAAATGTGTGGTCCGTAGAATGAAGCCTAGATCCAGTCCAAGAGCAAGAGTGCGGCCGCACTCAGAAATATGCGGTCCGCACAATTAGAGGAAGTGCGGTCGCACAGCCTTCGCAGGGGTAATTTTGTCAGATATTTTCAACTGGGTATAAATAGATCTTTTTGTCATTTTTAGGTTAAGTTGGGTGCACCTGAATACTCAGAGTCATTTTTATTTACTGTATTGGGTAACTTTGTACTGGTTTAGCATTTAAACATTAAATTTTCTTTCCTTAATCAATTATTATGCATTTTATCTTTGTTTCTTTTTTAATTTCTTCATTTTTCATGATTACCTAAATCCTTAGCTAGGGTTGCGACCCTAGCTAAATCCGTTAGGTAACCAACTAGGCGGAAGTCACAACCCTAGATCTTTTATAACTTGAAAAATAACCAAAATCAAAAATATTGTCTCTTAACTTTACAATTACAAGCATTAGCGTAAAAGTAGAAGTAGAAACAACAATTGAAAATATGAAAGTGTAATCTTAGGCACGTCATACATTCACACTAGGTATATACCTAATCCCACATTAAGCTCCATGTGGAATTGACCCCGACTAGTGTTGGGTTTTTATTATTGCATCGACCGCCTCGCAACCTAAATTAGTGGTGTGAGTTTGGGTGATATCAAATTGTCGCATAAACAATTTATTTAGAAAAGAGACTTCCGGCCACATAAATTTTTCAGAAAATTTTGTTGATCAAATCTTTTAGAGAAAAACAACCCATACAACTTTATGTATAAACTTTGAATTATATCTATTTATGCAGTTATTATTTGTTCTTTACAATGTAACACAAGAAGCCCTACTCCCCACTTAAGAAGTACTCCCTCCTTTCCCAAAAAAAAAAAAATACTATTAGTATTTTGAGAATCAAAATATATTTTCTTAAATAATAAATTAGTATTTAAAATTTGTAAGTTGAAAAATATCTTTTATATTATTTCTAAATAAGTAAATTTCACCACAACTCAGTTACAAAATTATTTATATTTACATTAAAACTTAAATATCTTGATTCTCATTTTTAAAGCTTAGATACAGAAACTAATGATGGGTGATGGGGCAACTAAGTAAATTTTCAGACAAGCCTTCAGTTTGGTTGAGATCCTTTTGTTTTAGATAGGGGTGTCAATATATATTTAAAAACTGACTAACCCGATCGTACCGTACCATACCGAACCGACTTTTAGGTTTCTTTTAATAAAACCATAGGGTTTTATATAAATCTATAACTGTATCGATAATTAGTGTAGGTTTTTTATTTTATGAAAATAAACCAAAAAAATACCGAATCGTACCAAATAATTTACATGTGAAAAGTATATTTATATATTAATTTTAAAAATAATAAAGCATTAAATTTTTTCTTAGGTCTTGGAATTATGAAAACAGTTACAAGCCAACAAGTAATTAAACTCAAAATCCTAATTCCCAAACATATTATACTACTCCTATTGAAAATAAATTATTTCCAGCA